TAAATATGATGGAAAAAATTACAACACAACATTAGGAAGAAGAATAATAAAACCAATAAAAAAAAAAAAAAAAGAAAAATTTCTATTTACGTTTATTATTGACTGCCATGACGTTTTTCAAAAAAAAAAAACTCACTCGCCGTATAACTTTGTTTTCTTTTTTCTTTTTTTTTTTCTTTTTCTCGTTGACATTTTTTTTATTCTCTTTGCAAAACTAATGGAACTTTTATTTTTCATTTACTTACTTTACGTCATTATTATTCATCGAATGTAAATTTAAAGAAAAAAAGCAAAAATGAAGAAGAAGAAGAAGAAGAAAAAAAAAAAGAAACAGACACTATGTAAGTCATAACAAAATTGAAATGCACTAGTTTTACGTAAACGTAAATGCAAATGATCTCACATAAGTGGTGTCTGTGTGTTTTTTTTTTCTTTTTCTTTTCTTTGTCTATGAGAAATATTAAAATTAAATAATTATCATGAAAATAATCAAAATAATAATAATAATAATAATAATAATTATTATTATTATTATATTACATTGAAATAAATAAAATCATTACAAAGTTTCTCTTTGACCTAACTCAATATAACAATTGTTAACAAAAAAATAATTGAGTTAACAAATACATACAAATGTCATATTATCATTGTTTCTGTTTACTCATTATAAAAGATATTTGTTATATATATAATATAATTATCTTAAAACTAAAATATATATATATATTACATATAATATAATCCTGTTGATATTTAAACAAGCGACGAATTTCAATAAATCATCGTACAATGATTTATTAAGTCCAGTCATAAATAACTTCCGACGTTTTATGAGACAAACAATGACGTTTCTGCGACTGATAAGTGCACGACATCTTTTCATGGAATTTTTTTTGTTTTCTTTTTTTGGCACTCTTTGCATCCGTTGGACGTATCCATTGGATTTTGTTTCCAATATTACCTTTAAAAGGGTTCGGTCAAAGTCGGAAAAGACGTCCTTGCACTCGGTTCGTCTTTTTAAGCTCGTATCTTCACAACGGCAATTTGACAAACCAATTTTCTGACAGTCCTATCAGTTATCAAATCCTGCACCATATTTGCTGCATATTTTTACAGTTGCCACTTTAGTGGCATTGGCCTTGTTTCAATTCTTAAAGCGTTGCATGTCGAATGTGCACTTTTTTTACGATCCATTTTGAGTGGTTAAGAAAAATGGGTTAAATGTAACATTGATTACATCGAAAAAAGTTGACAGAAGACTAAACTGAATCCTCATTTATACAGTGATATGAAAAATGTGGTTGTTTTGGTTACTTATAGTTGGTAAATACGAAAAATAGATTATACGGAAGTTACTTATGACTCGATTTAATAATTATGAAGATTTATGGTGAAAATTCGTTTGTTAGATTTAAAAGGATCTTTGGTCATACTTCCTCACTTTCACATTTCAATTAAATTCAACAGATATTCCATAAAAATTAATTGTCGTATTTAAAATAATATAAGTACACATAAGATGTGTTCCATGAATTTATCCTTAATATTATGTTTCTTTTTGTTTTGTTCATGTTGTTCAAACAAGTTTTTGTTCTTTTCTTTTAAGTAGATGAATTTTTTCATGAGTAAAATGATATCAAAAAAAAATTACGCTGTTCCGGCGCATTCTGAAAATGGAAAAGAAGATAAGAAAACATCCTGTCATAAGCATAATTACAAATGCTTTTATCTTATTCTCAACACGCTTATATAAATACATACATATATATATGTATATATAATAGGTTAAATATAAATTATGTTACTATCAGAATATAAACATAAAAAATAATTAAAAAAAAAAAATAAATAAAACAATAGGAAAAAGTAGTAAAATAAAAAATAAATAGAAAAATTAATCATTTGTCAAAAAAAAAAAAATAAATGGATAAAAAAATACTCACTGCAAACGGAACAATGTTGTTCATCGGAACCATCACCACATCCGTCTCTTCCACTGCATGCAATTGCATCTGAACGGCATCTACCATTATTGCATTTGAATGGACACGTTCTAGGTCCTATTCTACCACGATATCTTGTTCTACATGCACCTCTAGGCTCGTCACTACCATCGCGACAAGAAACAACTGCATTGCAAAACTCGTATGCTGGTAAACATTGACCATTGGTACATCTAAATGAACCTTCGGGACATTCTAACAAAAATTATATTTATAAAAAACAAATTGAATTATTCAAATTGTATGAAAAATATCAAATAGATGGTAGATATTATAATTATAATATTTATATATAATCATTTCAACTAACTTCGTCGATTATTGCAATCCTTTTCATCCTCGTTGTCGGGACAATCACGATTACCATCGCATATTCCTGCTCTAGATACGCAAATGCCACTTTTTTGGCATTTAAAAGCTTGATTAGGACAATTACCCTTTGTACATTCCTCGTCAGAACCATCAACGCAATCTGCACGACCATCACACACGAAGAACCAACTTATGCAATTTCCTGAACTTCTGCATTGAAACGTACCAGGTGTACAACCACCAATCTTTGCACTGCAACTAGAATTACTAGGGAAATTGCAATCGCAAATTCCTTTCGTACATCTTGAATATGGATCTGCCATTCGACATTCTAAATCTGAGGTACATGGTAGACCTAAACTGACTGCTATAGTTGCAGTTGGTTCGTGACGATCAGTTTTTATCGGTGCTAAAAACAAAAAACAAAATAAAATATAAATTCATGTCAATTAATGAACATTTCAATTTCATTCAATTTCATTCAATTTAACATTTCAAAGAATATAACTAGAAAATAATTTCAATCATGAAATTACCTGCAGTAGTTGAAATTGTCGTCATTTGTGACGATTGTTCCGTAGATTCGGCATAAATGACAACAGCATCATCGTCATCAGCAATCTCGGTTGAACTCAATGGACGATTTGGTCTACCATTGACAAAACTTGGTCTTGTCACTAAATTAACAGGTATTAATTGATCATTCGTTGTAGTCGACAAAAGCTTCGATGAATTCTTCAGCCATGATATTTGTACACCTGATTAAAACAAATCAAACAATAACAAAAATATTTTAAGTATCAGAGAAACTCACACAAAGGTTATAATTAATTATTCGTTGAATATTATGCAATAGTTCAAGAATAATTTCCTTAAAACTGTGTTGTTATACGTTGAGTGTTGTTTAAAGAATAAAATTATAAATAATTCATTTTAATTATCAATTATAATAAAGTTTGTTCTTTAATTAACGTTGCATTAAGTTTCGAGAGAATGAGACGAGTGCATACTATCAAAAATAAAATATTTTATTATATAATATTATTATAATATTATTTGTACTATTCTTTATAATTATTTATTGAATAATTAAAAAAATGCGCGCCTGTAAGAATGCAACCCTCCAGACACACTTTGAAAATGTTGCTTGCGAGCGCCACCTGTTGGAACGGAATTTTTTTTCCGCCCAAACTGTTCATACACGCATGTATCACGGGTTGCCTATTATTCGGGCAGTACAAAAAATTCCGTTCCAACAGATGACGCTCGCAAGCAACATTTTCAATGTGTGTCTGGAGGGTTGCATTCCTACAGGCGTAATGTTTTTTTTATAAATAATGGATCAAAATTAAACTTTAATTTTGTAAATTAATACATTTGGTAGTATGCAGTCGTACACAAACACGTACACACACACATATAGAATAGGAAAAAGTGTATACTATATTCTATCTCATTCTATCTTAGGCTAAATCCTATAGATGTACATATGTTTGTCTCTTTTTAGAACTGTAGCTGTTTCATCGTTAGATGTTTGTTCGCTTTGTTTCAAATCTAGCTCATTTTAAAGAAATGTTCACTTAAAAAAGAATAGAAAATTAGTTAACATTACGAAACGGTGTCACAGGAAATGCATGCTCTCCTTAAAGGGATTCATTAAGGTCATGCTTTCGAAACATCGAAATGATCGAATTGAAACACGTGTTGGTTTACTCATGTCGTGAGAAAAAAAAAGAAAGAAAGAAAGAAAGAAAAAGTAATAGGAGAAAAGGGAAAAGCAATCATTTCGAATTCGCTAATGGGTTCGTTAATTAAGCTCTTCGGGAATGATGGACGTTTTGCATCGTTAAATTTAGTCCAAGTACACATTGAAGTATATACAAGCATTGAGAATTAAATCGATTTTGAATACCCTTTCTTTTATCAAATTAATTAAACCTTAGTTGTTTTTTGTTTTTTTTTTTTTTCAATTGGACGTATAATATCAAAAATTTAATATATTTTTTATAAATTTTGAATTTTTTATTAACACTATGCCGTCCTTATATATATATCAATCTTGCGCGATAATTTTAGCATGGCACCACGGTGGAGCCATCGGACGTCATAATGTTAATTACAATAATATATAATATGTTTAATACATTTATTTTGTTAAATCATCATACCTGTATTATCTTGATCATCGATATTTTCTGGTTTAGAAGTTGATATTAAAAAATCATTATTTTCTTCATCAGTTTCTGTAGTTTCGTCAGTTTGATATGAATGAATTTCTTGATTCAAAGATATAGATGGTCTTACAAGATTATCGGGACTACAAATGTCACCTTCACGACGCATTGGTGCTGTACATTGACAACGTCCAAATAAATCAGGTATTAAATAATCACAGTGACTATTTTGATCCCATAATCTGCAATGTGCGTGTTCGTAACACACTTGGCCCAATTTTGCAGCTGTGAAATGAAACGTTGAATGCATGAATTTATATATTGCGTTGTTATTAACGATATTTCATGGAGAATTAAAAATAAAGTAGAAAAAAGGAAAAAAGAAAAAATTTAAGGGAAATGAACTACTCGTGGATTAAAACCTTCCAATCTCGAGCGTTCCTTCAATCCATCCATCCATCCATCCATCAGTCGATCTTTCAAATTATACACGCTCGAATTATGTGTGCCGTTATATACCAACGGTATAGACAACGAAGTATGCCGGGTTTTAAAACATCAACAACATCAACAACAACAACAACAACTAAGATTTATTTTAATCGCTTGCATCTGTTGCACTGCACTTTCATGTTTTATCGTTTAAAATAATCAACATGGGAATGAACGAACGAACGAACGAACGAACGTAAGAAAATCAATGAAAATAATAACAGTACAAATACAATAATTACAGTTCAATATATAATTGTTATAAAATAAATTGGGGGGAAAAAAAAATTAATAATTAAAAATGAAAAAAATAAAAAACATTTTATTAAAAAAAAAAATAAATAATAAATAATAATAATAATAATAATAAATCTAATGTGATAGAAAATTACTTACGTCCTAAACAGGTGTGTCTACGAAATTGTAAATAACCTTCGACGCATCTGCATGCACCTTCGAGACAGCTGCTGTTTGCTACTTTCAACGAACACTGTTCGTTTACTATACAATCGTTACCCAATAATGTTGCTGTATAAAATAATATTATTATTATTGTTATTATTATTATTATTATTATTATTCAATGATTGAAATTTTAACCAGTTAACTGTGGCACGGATTTTGTATATTTCAAATTCAAATTCATTTTAAAACTTTTGTTTCGATCTGACGTCATTTTATTAAGCAGTTAATTGTGATTGACGTGTATACTCGTCATTAGACAAAATCACTTATACTCATCATGGATGTTTTTGATCGATTTTGTCTATTGACGAGTATACTCGTCATGAACAAAGTTGATTTTGTCTATTGACGAGTATACTCGTCATCGATGTTTTGGGATCTATTTCGTCTAATGACGAGTATACTCGTCATGAACAAGTGATTTCGTCTAATGACGAGTATACGCGTGATGGGCTCGATTTTGACGACACAAAACGAGTGCGTGCACTTAAACGAGAACAACACAGTTAACTGGTTAACTGATTAATTGAGAAATTGTTGAGAAAATAATAAAGTTCGATGAACGAATGATGAAGAGGGAAGAAGATGAGAAAGATGATGAATTAAAAATAATAGAAGAAGAAAAAGAAGAAGAAGAAGAAGAAGAATATCGAGAGTAGGTAGTATAGTTTGTTCTTATAATGATGTTACTACTCTCTTCTTTGTTAATCTAATCTTGATCATCGTATCACAAGCTAATTAAATTATTTCCTGTGACTACCTTGTTGAACGTAGTACTTACGTTTGCATTAAAAGTTGAATAAGATTCAATCTTAGTGTTACTGGGAGGGAGGAGGGAGGGGGAGGGGGGTGGAGTCTTTTCTTATCATTTTATTCTCTTTTACTCAACACGAATTTTCTTTTCAATTGATAAAGAAAAGTTTCTTGTCGTCCTGTCTCTTTTTTTAAAGCTAACTGAGAAAAGTTAACAAAACGACGAAGAAAGAAGTATAAAGAAGAAAAGGTAAAAAAAAAAAAAAGCAGAAATGAAATGGGAAAAGAATAATTGAAAAGATACTTTTTAAAAAAAAAGAAAAACTCACACTCGAGGCAATGTGTTCCATTGTATTCTGCAAAAAAGGGTTGACACCGACAGTAACCATAATAGCAATGGCTTTTGGCGATGGAATTTTCACAATCTCTGTTTCTGTTGCATTCATCACCGAGTTTAAGTTCTTTCAACATTGGCGACGACATTGTCAAACGCTAAATAAGAAAAAGAAATTTAAAAAAAGAAAAAAAAAATAAATTAGAATAATAGAATAATAAAGTAAATAAAGAATAAAAACAAACGTTTTTTTTTTTTTTTTTTTTTTTTTAACGTCACGTGAATTCTTACGAAAAACTTTCGTCAGGCCAAACGTGTGACAAAACGAAAAAGTTGAGGTGTCAAGCACCGATGCCTGACATGGCTTGAACTGTAAGTTTGGTGTCAGTCATCGATGACTGACGTGGCCTCAACGTGTTAAATAAAATAAATAAAATTTAAAAAAAAAGAAAAAGTAATAAAACAGTCATCAACATAGTTATGAAATATTATATTTATTATTATTTACCAACATATGCATGTGTGTATGTGTGTGTTTTTGAAAGAACACATGTATTAGTTTAACTTGTATTTTATTTTCAATTAAATTAAATTCAACTAGCAAATCGTATCAACTAGAGTTATAGATAAAGATAAAGATATTCTATAAAGAGTAATTCAGCGGTTAAGATACTCTCTCTCTCTCTCTCTCTCTCTCTCTCTCTCTCTCTCTCTCTCTCTCTCTTAAAGGAAGAACGAAGAACCCAAGTATCCATCGAGATCGTTAGAGGTTGAGTTGTTCGATAGATCTATCGATCGATTTATACTACGATAAGGATTTACTACCTTATCGAGAGAAATCTTAGGTATGTCTGAGTTGAAAGAAACTTATAAATTCTTATTCGAGTAGTTAAAGTTACTTAAAACTCGACTGATTTCATTTGATATGGTCATGGAAGAGGATAGTTATGGTAAAAAGTTACCTTATTTGGTAAATCTTAGTGAAACAAGAGATAATACATTACATAAGTATTACTTGATTAAATGAAAGAAGAAATGAGATAAATGAAGAAATAAATAAATAAAAATAATCATCAGTGTACTCAGTCAATAGTTAATATTATTATAAATAAATTAGTATTAATAAGTTATATGATTATTCCCCGTGGGGGTGGCGGGGAAGAATACCCCCCCAGTAATCCCTGCTTGTCGTAAAAGGCGACTAAAAGGGAAACCCAGGTAAGATGGAGTAAGTTATAATATAATATTACTATTATTATTATTATTTAATTAATTTATTATTTATATATTTAATTAATTATTATTATTAATATTAATAAAATTATATATCCTTAATAAATAAGTATTATAAATTAATATTATAAATAAATAAATATATAAATAAATAGAAAAATATGTTTGACAATGAACAAAATACAAAGACAACAACAACAAAAGAAATCTTATTAACTTCATTGAAATTTTTATTTCTATCTATTAATCGTAAATAGTTAAGTTTTCTTATAATAATAATAATAATAATAATAATAATAATAATAAATAAATAAAGGTATCTCCACATATCTTTCGAGAAATCGAATTCTGCAAGCTGCTGGTAGAAAGAATAATTATTAGAAAATAAAATCAAATAAAAAAAAAACAGAGATAGAAAATGATCTTTTTCTATTTTTTTTTTTAAATGTAATCGTAGAAACGTTCTTCTTACATGAATTGGAATTTCTTATATATATATATATAGGAGAAAAAGTCACTAAGAAAAGTATCCAACAGTGCATTCCTCGAAAGCTATTGAAACGTTCATGATTACAGCTGACCGAAGCATAATTTAACGATCGCCATAAAATGTCGAGAGAGTGAAGGAGAAGTTTAAAGAATGGGGGAAACCGTTCGGTGGTTTCCCCCATAAGACTTCCTTAGCGCTCTCCTTTAAAACTCTTCTTCTTCTTCTTCTTCTTCTTCCTCTTCCTCTTCTTCTTCTTCTTCTTCTTCCTCCTCTTCTTCTTCTTCTTCTTCCTCTTCTTCTTCCTCTTCTTTCTTTTTCTTATTCTTTTTATATTTCATTTTTTTTCTTTTTTTTTTTCTATGCATTCCGTGAGTACGCGATATCGGAAGTAGAAGTTGTGAGTTTCCGCGTGAGAAGCATCGTTAAAGGAATAGGGTTGTATAGTACACGATGGTGCGTGATGATCATCATGATCACAACGATGATGATGATCATGATGATCATGATGATGATGATGATGATGATGATGATGATGATGACGTGTTGAAGGTAGGAATAGCACAGGTGGTATAGTAATTCTTCCGCGACTTGTTTTTTATTAAATTGCCTACCTTCGTTAGATATAATTAAGCTATGTGGTTAAGGATTTCTATATGGTTAAACTCATATATGTTTATACGTTTGTATAGAATGTGTTATATACCATAACTAGATATATATATATATGTATCTTAAGTTGAAATAGCTTTATTACATACCATCTTGTAAGAGTAAGAAAAAAGGGGGAATCCCTCCTTGTCTATCTATCTAGAAAATGTCAAAACTATGCATTTTCTCTCTCTATTTCTCTTTCTGTGTATATTATCTTTTTTCTGTTCATCCTAATCACATTCCGAGTTATTCCCACGATCAACAAACAATGAGAGAGTAATCTTTAGTAAACGGAAATGAAAGCAAAGAGGAAGAGATGGATCATGGTGAGATGAAGGTAAGAAAGAGACAAGGGACAACAACACCGTTAACTTTTGACTGACTACATTGCTGATTATTTTTATTTTATTTTTTTGTTTTGTTTTGTTTTGTTTTGTTTCTATCTATCTATTTATTTATAATCATTTATAATACTAATTTTTTTTTCATTATAATATACAATTTTATTGATATTATTAATTAAATTATTTATTTTATTTGTAATAACGTAAATGGTTGTTGACTGACGTTAAATGACTGCATTGCTGATTAGTCTATTTTTTGTTTCTATCTGTCTATTTATTTATAATCATTTATAATATTAATTTAGTAATTATATAGAATTTTATGAATATTATTAATTAAATTATTTATTTGATTTGTAATAACGCAAATGGTTGTTGACTGACGTTGACTGACTGCATTGGTGATTATTTTATTTTATTTTATTTTTTTTTTTTTTCCTATTTATTTATGTATTTATATATTAATTATTTATTTATAATATAATAATTTATAATATCTAATTTAATAATTATGTATAATTTTATTAATATATTATTAATTAAATTTATTTTTATTTATAATAACGTTAACTGTTGTTGACTGACGTTGACTGACTGCATTGATGATTATTTTATTTTTGTTTTCTATTTATTTATGTATTTATATTAACTATTTATTTATTATATAATAATTTATAATATCTAATTTAATAATTATCTAGAATTTTATTAATATATTATTAATTAAATTTATTTTTATTTATAATAACGTTAATAGTTGTTGTTGACTGATGTTGACTGACGTTGACTGACTGCATTGATGATTATTTTATTTTATTTTT